CCCCAAAACCCCAAAACCCCAAAACCCCATAAGTCTACAAATAGTAGATAAAAGGTTCTTAAAGAATTTATCAGGATTTGCTGAAATAAAAGGTTTAATGCAAAGGATCCATTATATATTGTCTCAAATTAAATCATTGAATTATTTAGAGATAACTTTGATATGAAAGTTAAAGGCGAGAATTTATTACGTAATTATCAAAAAGACGCCTCTACAAGAAGTGTTTCAGATGACTAGGATGAAGTCAAGCGTGTTCAAATGAGTCCAGTCCGAGGAGAAGGTAGCTGGCGTTAATAGTTATCTAATATTTATGGAAAATATGATAGATCAGTCTTAATTGTGATGTGCTTCACCTATTTTCTTTAAGGATTCAGAACGTTCCAAATGCTATCAGTCAAAGATTTTTTCAGATTATATCTAAAGTTAGAGGCTGACTACACTTAATTTTTAGTCTCAATGGTTATATTACCTTGGTCTTTCAAGATTATATACGGGTTAATTGCTGATAACTTCCCTATTTACGGTTCAAGGAGAAAGTCTTACATTATAATTAATGGATTTTCTCAGTTCTTAACTCTATTAATCCTAGCATTCTAAATCACTACTGATGAGGTAATCGTAACTGCTCTACTTGCCCTAAATTCAATTAATATGGCATTTATAGATGTTGTTGTAGATGCGTTAGTGGTTTAGTAATCAAGAAAAGATTTTGACGAGGGATCAGAAGATCTTCAAGGTTTAAATTGGATTTTCATGGGAATAGGAGGAATAATCGGTTCTGTATGCTCAGCATTTTTTACTCAATATTTGGAGCCTAAAAATGCATTTTTGGTTGCCTCTTTCTTTGGACTTATTATGGTATGCTTTGCACTAACAATTGACGTGGCTTCAGAATCCATCAGTTTTACCGAATAAGAACACAAGCATAAGCACATAGGCTTTATAGCTAACCTCAAAAGAAACTGGAAAGAAATAAAGATAGCAGTTAAAATGCCTGAAATCTACAAGACTCTGATGTACTTGATATGCTCTGGCGCAATTGTTCCAGTTTTTAATGATATGACATACTTTTTCCAATTAAACGTCATTAAATTCACAAAATTTACTCAAAGTATGATTGGAGTTCTTGCTTTTTTTTGTCTCTTTGTTGGTGCTTTTGCTTTTACCAAATATCTAAGACATTTTGAGATAAGATCTTTAATAATATTGGGCATCATTATTAATACTACTGGATGTGCAATGGGATTACTTTAGGCCCTAAGATACAACCTAGTCTTAGGTATTGATGACGTAACATTTGTAGTCTTTACATCTACCATAACTGATACGCTTGGATTGGCATTCATCTAACTGCCAATGATGGTATTATTTGCAAAGGTTTGTCCACCATTTATTGAAGCAACTGTATTTTCTCTGCTAACTGGAATATACAATTTTAGCAATTTCACTTTAAGCCCCATGATTGGAGTACTCATTAATAGACTCTTCATTAGAGTCTCTAACTCAAACCTTGATGACTTTTTCAAGCTTTTGCTACTCTAAACTATTCTTGCTCCTCTACCATTATTTCTTGTGAGATTAATTCCCTCACGAGCTCAAATACATATTCTTCAATTACAGAATTAAGAATAGATTAATGAATTAGAAAAGTCAAACTCACTTGAAGAGGGACTTATTGAATAAAAAAATGACATAAAACCCTGAAATCAGCTATTCATCGAATATTTATTTAACTAATGAAAATATTTTTGATCATTTTTATGAGTGATAAAAGCAGAGTTGGGGTTTTGGGGTTTTGGGGAGATCGGAAGAGCAC